CACTTATGTATGTATGTGTATGTGTGTTTATTTGTTATATTTTTCTTTTATATGCGTATTTGTTTAACTCAGAGACGACAGGCTGTTTCATTCTGGATACAAACGTATGCCTCTATTATATATATATATATATATATATATATATATATATATATATATAGAGAGAGAGAGAGAGAGAGAGAAGAGAGAGAGAGATTACAGGTAATCGATCCGTTGATATATAATCCGCGTGGTTCCTAGTAATATTAAAAAAAATACTCAAGGAAACTAAACAAGAGCATATATGAACCCAAAAAGGATATTTCACAAAACAATACATCAAATACGCGATGGACCACAATTTCGATATAAAGATTAATTTAATTAAAAGAGGTAACAATTCCCTATCACGAGAATGATTAGAGAGTGTCTTAATTGAAAGGTCATCCACAGTAAATTTGCGCCCTGGCTCTTACAATATTTCACAATTCTTGCAGATTTTCTCTTATCACAGTGTGGGATATCTAATAACAAAAGTGATGGAAGCAAAAGGAAAAAGAATCTTGATGAAATCGGTTCGATTAAATGCAAAAAAATAAAATAAAATTAAATTCCCAACATTCCTCATTCGTGCACATGTGTAGTCGCATCAACATAACAAATTTAGTCCGGTCAACTCTTAAATGACAAAACGTGTCACATGAAACACTTTTTTCTTCTTTGACATATAATTTCTCCAATATATATATATAATATATATATATATATATATATATGTGTGTGTGTGTGTGTGTGTGTGTGTGTGTGTGTGGTGTATTTTCTGAGCAATTAATTTTCCATCAAGTTTTACTAAATTCAAACGAATTGGACTTTCTGCTTAATTTCAAAAATTTTGTCCATTGGAATTGAAAATATTGAAAATCCGCCCGAACTTCATATTCATTCAGTATTGTTCAAGTATGTCTGACCGTCTAAGTCATTATCAAGAAAAAAAATTGCTCATAGTGATAGTCGTAAATACCTTTCATTGGTTCAATATTGACAATTTTACAGAGCTGATACCAGTACGAACATTATATGCAACGGTTAAATTGAACGAACTCGCACTGCAAAATAGTATTTACCAAATAATATATATTATTATTAGCATTATTATTATTATTATTATTGTATGTTATGTTTCCTGCTTTGTATCTTGTAGAGCCTGGTCTGTAGGCCCTATTGGAGAATTCTCATTTAATTGATTTTTTTAGTATATGGAATGTTACTAGTAGGTCGACATTCTGGGCAACTTGTATGTTGATGTTACCTGGGACATTGTTAGTAAAATTGTCCATTCTTTTTCTCACGAAGGTCACAGTTCTGATTACTAATGGTACAGTCTCAGTCTTCATTCCCCAATTTCTGCTAATCTCGATCCCCATGTATTTGGACAATTTCTCGATAATGTTCATGGAGGTGCTTCTCTTAGAAGATATTTCTATGTCAATAATCATCCACTTCCTGATTTGTTTTTTTGTCTTTTACGATAATATCAGGTCTGTTGGCTTTTATTTCACTTGGCGTATGACAGTAAGTATCGTTATTTTGGGTAATTGGGTCTTGTCGGTGCTCATACCATCTCTCAGTGGTTTCGATTTTGTGCTTCTTGCATATCTTCCAGTACGCATATGTCACTACCGTGTTATGTCTGTGAGTATATTCATTTTTTACTAATCCCGGATATCCTGAGACAATATAGTCGACAGTTTCATCATATTTCACTCATTTCAGGTTATTTCCACCGTTGATTATGTGAGAGTGATAGGATTTGGTTCTGAGGCTCTGCTCTTGAACTGCAATAATTAGGCCCTCTGTCTTGTCAAATTCCGGACGCTTTTCTTCAATTGCTGCACTTAATCAGTCCAACATGGAACAATACTTCTCTGATGTCAAATCTGAGTTGTCGAAAAAGCTCATATTATCCCATTAGATACAGTGTATCATATTTTTCTTGATGCGAGCCATATTTTAGAGTGAATTTCTTTTTTGCTCCATCTTGTTGCAATTTTTTATCGCGTGTAATAATTGTTTCTAACAATGATACGTTTTGTTGCGTTTGAATAGAGAATCACGGATGCAAATGCATTTCATTGACTTTTCCCGTTAAATCATGACAACGTTCATATGAGTAATGTGGAATACTTCTGCGATATCCCGTTTACTGTAAACTGGAATATCTTTAATCGTCGCTTCGATTCGGACATCTTCAACGACTGCAGTCTTGGCGGAATGTCCTCATTCTTCAATAACAATATTTGCAATGCAGAAATAAAACCAACCAATTGCTAAGAATAGCGGCAGGTATGGCACTATCTCCATAAACGATACATATCTTTTTTCGCTTTCCTCCATTTTCACGTTAGCATAGAAACATTTACATTTCAATATCCGCACATAAATTATATTGAAAGGCATAAGAAAAACACGCTTTTCAGCTTATGTATATGTTTTAAATTTCAATTACGTATGAAATGAAATC